TTGAATCTTGATTCTGCCCATTACATCATAATTATAATTCACTGCTGGCCACTTGTCACAACCTACTAATCTTGCATCCTGATTCTGCCCATTACATCATAATTATAATTCATTACCGACCACTTGTCACAAACTACTAATTTTAGCATCTTCACTATTGTGCTTGTAACTTTCAAAATGTCAGACATTACATTCCAAAGTTTAATATTGAAAATGATCTCCTTAGCTTTCCTCCAGTTGTAATCAACACTAAATCCAAACATGTCACAATCTACAAAAATTAACATACATCTTAGAATTTATTTTTACTTATATATGCTCTCAGGAATTAAAAGATCTCTGAGTTAAGATAAACTTGTTTGTTTGTTATGTATGTTTGCAAGTTTTAGTTTTCTTTTTGCTTATTCTTGTAGAAAAAAATTTAAGCTAAAATAATATCTAGTTTGATACAAAAATGTTGACACCTCCACCAATCCTCAATAATATAAAATATTTGCTCGACACTTTTCATCTCCTCCAAATATATAATTGATTGCACTATTGACTGTCCATTGCATAATAAATATAAAAAAATGTGCCACTTATCACAATACTAATCTTAACCTCTTCATTATTGAGCTTGTAATTTTTGAAGTATAAGTCACACCATTTCAAAATTTGAAGTTGAAAATGTTCTCCTTATTTTTCTGTTATTTGTAATCAACACTAAATCTAGACTTACTCCAATTTCAAAGTTCTATTTTTTGCTTATGCAACCTCGCAAGACTTGGGAAAGATATTGCAAAATGAGTGATGCTTTGTTTCAACCATTCCGCGCCACTATATATCTTTTTTTTCACCTTAAGAATAAACTCATGAATATATATATTTAGTTAACTACAAAATTTTTTTGAAAGTGTTTTGTTTCTTATTTAAGTCACCTCCAATATCCTCAAAATCAAATCAGTACAATGGGTTGTACATGATATCTACTACATGTGCATATTCTCAATAATATTTTGACCTATATGAACAAAAGATGTCTTCATATTATCTAATGTCGCTAATAATGACAAAAATTTGATAGTGATCCAAAATCACTTAAAGCACATTCCTTTCTCTAATCATATTTATTTGTGCATTTAAGAGTTCAAAGAGCTTCAATATCATTTTTTGAATATTCAAATGCGATTATTGACTTCAGTAATATATAGCATGTGATGATGCATTAATCATAAATCACCCTCTATGATTAGTCCACCCATAAAAGAGCACACCCTTTCTCTTAAAAAATTTTAAGATCATCCGAAACCTTCAAAGTCACTTACACTTTCTTTTAAAGTAGAACTCCACTAAAATTAAGACGTCGGTCAAAGACATAATCCATACCACACAATTACCTCGGCAATATGATCAAACACTTCCAACTTCACCACATTGAAAGGATATCATTCTTAATAGAACCACCTAGCCATGCATTTGTATGGTTGTATCTCTGATTCCTTATCCATATTTTTCCATTCTCATTTTTCTTGTATCTTTCCTTCATGCAACATCTTTTTTTAGATTCTTTAAATAAAAAATGATGATCCATTGAACTCTTCATTTTAGTGCTTCTTGGTCCAGATATTCATTTAAATGCTCTAGTATCACAGTGCAAAAGAGGTTAAATATTTATTCTTCGAAAATATCAACCACCCTTTCCATGTGTTTATATGTAAACTCTAGTTCAATTTTTTAACTCCTTAATAAACAAATAGCTCCACTTTTACATTTGAAGGTACTTGGTTATGCTTAAAAACATTACTGCTACTAAAAGAATTAGAATTACAGATAACGTACTCTTTCGCTCGAGATATATCTTCATTTATCTTTTTACCACAAAAAATGCATACGTGACAAAGTATTTGACTGAGATTTCAATTTCATGCATTTCTAAGTTATATCTCTTCTCTAAACATTTGAATCAACCATACCATTTTTTCTTTTCCTATAAAGAAGTAAAATTTTAAAAGGATGAAAAATAAGAAATCATCAATTAGCTTTCTCGTTCATGAAATTATGCACGCTGAGAAGAGAAAAAGAAGATGGGGGGAGGGTTCATTCTCATTTCAATTATGTCTTTGGCATCCATCTTAACCATTAGTTGAAATATCAACAACAACAACAAGCCTTTATCCCACAAAGTGGGGCTGGCCACATGAATCATTTATCTCCATTGTGTCCTTTTAATGTCATATTTCAATTAATTTAATAAATTAAGATCATTTTCTATACAACTTCCCCAAGTCCTTTTAGATCAACTTCTATCATTCTTAATATAGGTCAAATCTAAAAAATTTACTTTCCTAAGGGGCTCATCAGATCGATCGACGTTTAACTTGACCAAATCATCTAAGGAAACTCTTTCTAACCTTGTATGTCACTGTAGCTACTCCAACCCTTTCACTTTCATTGATATTGATTAGCACTATCTCTAAGTGTAAAGCCACCCATCCACCAGAGCACTCTCATCTCAACGACACTTAATTTTATGCTTCTCATTTACAGGCCAACATTCTGCGTCACAAAACATTGTAGACCTCACCACTATCTTATAAAATTAATCTTAGGTCTAAGTGATACTTTTCTATCACACAATAAGCCTGATGCATTCCTCCAAGTAATAACATTCCTATATGGACCATCATCACTTTGAACAATAGACTTGAGATATTTAAAAAGTTCACTCATTTTTATTTTGCAAGTTTAATAAAATTTCATCGCTTCGCTGATCCTTCAAATGACTGATATTGAACCTCACATCTAGAGGTCAAGAGTTTTCTTATGCAAATCTCCAACGAAAGCACAAAATCAGATACTATGTGATGAAACTCCACCAAGTTACAAACAAATTTTAACAACAATATGTTAGTTTCAATGAAACCTGAATATGAAGAAAATCAATTTAGATGACAAACAAAGAAATGTAGATATTTAGAACAGACTGAATTAATGAACTAGTTAAAGAACATGCGCTTTTAGAAACCCAAACTGTATCCAAATTGAATAAAATTGAGCATTTGAACCAATAACAGATTAGAAAAAATAGAAGAAAAATTTGATAAATCAAGCCACTATTTTGTATAAGATTATAACCTCTCCTAGATTTCGTCAAGTTGCCTATTTAGTCAAAAAGTAAACTCATGGAAGTAGAAGAATAGGAAATCAATCCAAAAATTTATTCAAAAAATAATTTAACTTATGTTTATATAAACAAAAAAAATGGTCTCTTAATAAAGTAAACCTACACAACAAGCAGTAATTTTTATTGAGACTTGAGTCTACGGAACCAGATAACCCAAAAAGCTCAATAAAAGCGCACAAAAAATCTAAATTCAATGCTACGACAACTACCAAAAAGTGGATTTGTAATGCAACACTTTCATGCCTGGTAGAATAGATTATCTAGAATGATAAAATACCCATTTCTCTACCAAATGAAACCCCGTGAGCGCCACAAAAAATATAGAGAAAGTGACACCGAAGCAAAGAGTTATGGGTTACCAGCATAGAATCGTTCATTAAACTAGTGAAAAGAAAAATAAAGAGCCATAGGATGCCATGGAAGGAACTATGGTAACAAATCCACATAAATTGCATGATACCACAGTTAACCTAAAGCACACTAGAAAAAATAAATAATATTACTAAAAAAAATGGTTATAACCAACACACTTAAAAGGGGAAATATAATAACACGACACAAGCAAATATCACTAGTGTATCCCAAGAGTGGTGGCATTCGGCTAAGTGGATCGAAATGGCTGGCGGGGGTGGCGGCAACAAAGGAATGATGGTGGCAGCGAGGGGGAGGTGCAATATATAGGTACAGGAAGTTTGGTGGTTGCTCTGAGTGATGGCGGCGAGAAGTTGGGAATGGATAGCAGTGGGACAACAGGAAGGAGGTGTTCCTTAGGTGACTTGGGCAGCAGCGGCACAGTGGAAGGCTGGGACAAAAGAAACAAGGGACAGTTTGGGCGGCAGCAACATTAGAAGGAAGGGGGAGGCGGCTGGGATGCTCGAGGCTGCTGAAAACAACAATTGGAATGTTGTTGTGGGTGCCTGCAGCTAGATACGGCGATCGGGAGAGATGTGGGAGGATGCAGAAGGGGTAGGGGTAAGATAATCACCACCTCGGGAAAGAAATACGGCCAGAGCACCACCCAATCTCTCGAATACAGCTCTCGAAGAGGAAAACAGACGCTAGTAGATGTCCTGACAAAAATCTGAAATCCAGAAGGCAAAAAGTAACCTTAAATAAAGCAAACAGAGGAATAGTAGGTAGAATAGCTAGGGAATCGAAATAAAAAGGTGATTGGAAAAAAAGAAGGTAGACGAAAAAGTACTAGAAAATGAAGAGCTATACAAGGCAAGGAATCAGATAGGAAAAAGGGACCGCAGCACTTTAGCAGCTATAATACCGTGTCTTGGTAAGCTCTCGCGTCAATAAATTTCAGAAAATCGAGTAAACACAGATCATCAATACAATAACATAGCGAGGTAACAACTTTGATATCGGAGTAATACAAAAATCACACACTACTAAAAGAAAAAAAAAATACTAAAATTACTTTATAAGTAAAGTTCATATTTCCATTTTGCCTATCTTACACAATTCACTTTTTTTTTTTTTTTTACTTTAGAGTTGCTATTTAAATATTGAGGAATAAGTATAAATTTCTTCAAAGATTCACCAGTTCTTGTAATTGGAGAATTCAACATCAACCTCTTAAAAAATTTAAGCATTGTTAAGTCATTAAAAAGCAAACAGAAAGCCAGGTTATAAATTTATGCTGTCTTGTGGCTAGTCAATGTTTCCCAATGTTTGTCAGAATATTAAACTTCATTATGTCTTCAGTACATCCTGTCCAGTCCTATAAATAGGAACTGCTTCTAGTTTGAATAACAAATGATACTATCTTTATGATTATGAAACAGTTATATAAGCCAAAATCAAAAAGGTAAAGAATTCATATTACTTGGTTGACTAGGGCAACTCTTTGGTCACGAAGTTGGTCAATAATCATATTACAGACAGTTGTTTTTCCTGAAGATGCACCGCCAGCAACACCTGCGTTTTAGACAGAATCATCATGCTTTATGAGAAATTATAACGTAAAAAACTGTTAACTTATAAGTTTTAGAAAGTTAAAGAGAACAACAAATCCACAAGGGCCCTCCCAGCACAAATAACAGCAACATTGTAGCTAAAAGGCATACTAATTTGCACTAAAGAGCTTAAACTGATGAGTAGCAAAGAATTTCATTGAAAAAATAATAAAACATGTGTTCAAATTACTAAAATTTCCCAGCAACAATAAATTAAGGATTTTTCTTTCAAAAAGATTGGCAAGAAAATTTTATGCATGTATTAGATGCCTCTTAAGGTGTAGCTCCAGTGATGGACAAAATTAAAGAAGAGTCGTCTTAGATGGTTTGGTCACATTAAACGTCTAAACGTCGACTAACGTCGACTATCTGATGATCCGATTAGGAGAGCAGATGTTTTAGATTTGACTTATGTTAAGAAAGGCAGAGATAGAACTGGAAGACTTGGGCTTATTGTATAAAAAATTATCTTAATTTATTAGAACTAAATGAAGAACAAATGAAAATATGAAACTAAATAGGACGCAATGGAAAAAAAGGATTCATGTAGCCGACCCCACGTAGTGGGATGAAGGTTTTGTTGTTGTTGTATTAGAAGCCTCTTTATTCTTTTGCATTGTCATCTATTAGAAAACAAAGAAAAGAAAAGCAGGTAGAAATATTAGGTTGTCTTTAACAAGGCACCGGGTAACGAGTCCAAATTACATAATATAGCCTCTCTGCAATGCAACGATAAGGCTTCATACATTAATCCGTCCATGAAAAGAAAATGCAGTGATAACACAACTCAAATTTGTAATGATACCTCTAATCTTGGAATGAGGATGTGAATAATCTAATTGAACGGTATGATATTGGATTAGGTTTTATGTGGAGCCCTCAAGATGCAATAATTTTATCGAAAAAGAAAGAGCAAAAAGATATTAAGAATGATTAAACAATCTTTATTAAGACCTCGAGTAAGAAGTTCATATCACAAAATAAGACTGTTCACAATTGATGTTCGCAGAACCCCGTAAAATCTCAGAGCAGAATCTCGTGGTATTACATGTTTCCATGGTTCCCGAGAGTGCGGGAAGGGACGTTACAGGATGGCACAAGTCCCACTTGTGAAAATCCTAATTAAGAGATTTATTTGCGTTGTTGTCAAATTCAACATAATTCTTTTCCTAAATTTTTTTCTTTTTAATTAGGCTTATTTCTACAGAGGAGACTATATATTTGTTTTTTTTCTGTTTAGAGGGACTTTTGCATTATTTTGGGTATTATGGAGATTGCTATCTCTAATTTCCTGCTTTAAAAGTATTGTTTCTTTTCCTTTTGCAAATGATATGCATGTATCTTGTTCAAGAACATGTGGTAAAACTTCCTTGTTGCTCATATCACACCGTTTCATAATTGTTCTCGTTGATTTCAATAAGGGAAGTCAAATGACGCCTATCCCCATCCAAACGCAATAGACATCACATTGTTTCACTCCCTAGCTATTCCACAACAACCTCCTCACTAAATTGACTTCCCAAGCATCTTCTAGGAGCTCTAGAATGGTATCATCTAGTATCAGAGCCTAACAAACCCTAAATTTTTAGCCAAAATCTAAAACTCCAGAGGGCCCAAACATGGCTCCCTACCCACTAAAAAATCACAAATGATTCCAAAACTAGAAAAATTAGAAAAATAATACATGTATATATATATATATATATATATATTGAAAGCCCCAAAAGGCTAATATTATAAGTAGAAAGAAAGATACAGATACAAAGTGTGGGAGGGCCCAAACATGGCTCCCTACCCACTAAAAAATCACAAATGGTTCCAAAACTAGAAAAATTAGAAAAATAACTTAGATACTTAAATAAATAACCTGAAAGTGTCGAAATATATAGTATCAGGTGGCTAGAGAGCAACCCAATTTGGTCTTGCCTCTGCCTCTAGTTCTAGGAAAGGAGCAAGCTAATAAACTGGTAAGATGATTGTCATTGCCAAAAGTAACCAATGTATCATCTAATATGTTCCCGAGCTGGAGTCTGCCTCCATTCTTCTTCTTCCTGTTGGAATAGACCTGTCATTCCTCTTCCGAAGAATCAGTATGATGGGGTGGCAGAGTTGAAGCAGAAGTAATATCAACCATAGTACCCACAATTGGTTCTAGCATATGTGAAGTATGAGTTGTCTCTGCACCGGATACTTCCTGAAGAAGTGTAGTTGTGAGGCTCTCATGATTATCAGTCTGGACACTTTCATTTGTAGGTAATAGTCTATTAGTATTGTTTTCTACGGGATGGTTTGAAGGTGTCAACATCACATCCCTCGCAGCAACAGTAACAACAATGTCATTAGGGGGTTCTCAGGGGCAACAAACACCACCCATCCGGGAGGATCCTCCCCCTGC